ATAAAGTAGGTTAACCCGGTAAAAAGTTCTAATGTAAATGCCGAACTTATAATACGTTTATATTTAACCGGATTTCGTTAACCCAGTGGGTTTCAATTGTCAATTCCTTTGCATATATGTCAAATAAATCCTCATAAAGTAGGTTAACCCGGTAAAAAGATCTAATGTAAATGCCGTTTTATGAACAAATGATTTCGGAACTTCAGAGGTCTATATTTCGGGATGTTTGGCTTCTCCCATGAAAAATCATAAATTTTCGTGATCAGGGAGACGAGACCTACGTGTGGTAAAAATGTCATCCGAGATGAGCCTCTAAACTTATATCGTTCCCTTTTTTAGTATATATGTACATAGAATTACTTTTTGAGTCGATTTATGCATGTCGCTCCGTCCATGTATTATTTTTAACAAGTTACAGGTCACATTTATGATCCGAATGGGATAAAATTTGGTATACTCCATCCGAAAGCGATGAAACTTTATTTGGCAGAAAAACGAGCCCAATTGATAGTGTTCAAAATCATTTCAGATTTATATATAGATTCCATATATTTTTCTTTGTTTATTTACACCTAATTTGGCATTACGCATTGAATAGATTCTAGAATGTTGTATACTTTTCTTGTTCGGTCATGTTTTTTTTTTAATTTCTTAAAAAAAAAAAAAAATGGTCCAACACTTCAGTCGTCAACTAAAACAATGACGAAAAAATCTTCGACATCGTCGTCGTCACACTTTGTTACGGAATACCAAAAATGTTTCAATAGTTATCGATAAATGTCGACAACGACATAGAGAATACCAATTTGCAAAAGACGACTCTCTACGTCGTCGTTCTGTGTCGACGACATACGGAACAGGGGTGAATGTTGGCTACTCCTTTTTTAGGAACTACTTCCAGCTTATGATCTAGTCCATCAACTTGGGCAAGCGTGGGTAATGATCTTAAGCCTTCAGAATTCGCTTACACGAATTAGAGTCGGGGGATCCGGACTCGGAGTATAGCGATTTTATTGAAATTTGGTTGAGCTTAGGTACTACTTATGAGAAGCAAGATCCTCGTCTAGTATTGGTTGTGTAATAATGTAGTAGATTCAGAGATGTAGTTTTTAGTACTATTTACAAAATATTTACATAGTTAACCGTTAATTTCAAATATCTAAATAAGAGTTGCATTCAAATGGTTAATAAAATGTATGCGTTTATACTATAGCAAATAATATTTGAATAAAACAGAGTTGATCCGCTTCAATACAGTATTGTTCGAAACCTAAGCAACTTTTTCTTAGTAATCATGATCTTATATTATTTTGTTAAATTGAGTTATGAAAAATACTTCTTTTGTTAATTACTACACTTTGTGTCTATTTTTTAAAAATAACAACAACAATCTTTTTTTCATTTCAACAAATAAGGAAATAAAAACAAAATTAACTAAAAAAAAAGCTGTTCGAAACCTAAGCAACTTTTGCATTGTTGTATTTTTGCAAAAATTGCAACTACTACCGAAAAACTACTGAACGTACAGATCAACTTATTGCTCGTTTTGGTTAAAACTAAATATTAGTTCATCCACAATTAGAAAGCGATTATTGGAAAACAAATTTTAAGAAGTTTCATGCTGTCCAAAAAGGCGATGCTGACTATGAAGCATTTAAAGAAATAATAAATTTTAGGATGGATTTTGCTAAAGCCCATGTAGATTGGAGTGTAGCAAAATTAAGAACTGTTTTATTCAGCGGAGTATGCCACGTTCGAAGACCGAGGGGTAAACGGCTACATCCGCGATTTTCATAAGCCACAACAAAGCATGGAGGTGAGAGTGTGATGATGTGGACTTGTTTTTCGGCCAGTGGAGTTGGTCCCTTTGTGGAGATACAAATCAAAATGGACCGTTTTACTTACAGGAATATTTTAAAAACCCATATGCTGCGATATGCTAAATGGGATATGCCCCTTATATGGATGTTTCAACATGTTAACGATCCGAAACATTCATCAAAGTTTGTTAAGGAATGGTTATCTGCTAATTGAATTCAAGTTTTGGATTTGTCGTTACCAGATCTGAATCCCATTGAAAACATTTTCAGCATTTTAAAACGAATGGTTGGAACAAGTCGCTTTAAAAACAAACATGAAATGATACCTGCCAAAAATCAGAGTGGGAAGCTATGCCAACAACAAATCTAACAAATCTAGTAGAAGCTATGCCAAAAATATGTACAGCTGTAAGAAAACGAATGGTATCATACAAAATACTGAAGGTTGCTTAGGTTTCGAACGTCTGATTTTTGAGTTAATTTTGTTTTAATTTTTTTTTATTTTTTCCAAAGAAGTATGTAAATTCATGCAGTTCTTTAACTTGTCTACAACGTACGATTGGAAATTTTCATAATGGCCGATCGCTAAGGTATTCGTAATTGCTACCACACGATTTCAGTTCGCTCTGCCTTAATGAAAATGTCCATTGCCATTTGTCTTTAACTTCGTCTCAGTTAGAACAACCCCTCTGCAAAAAATAATGTATATTACAAAAAAGAAAAACTATGATTTAAAAGTTTGCCTTAAGCAGCTTAGAATTAGCAATTGATGTTGATAAGAATAAAGCCAGCGGTGATGTTGCACTAACACTAGATTGATTTTATGAACAAGAGACTTCTATATTGGCAATCGTTTGAGACAATGTATCGTCATCAATGTTATACTCCTAAGTCTGTTTTTACACGGTAGATTGGTTTCAGAAGAAGCCGTGTAAAAAAATACATTGATCTTATACATAAAGGGAATTCCCCTAAATTAGTGCTATTCACATTAGCTTTGACCAGTAAAAATTGTTTGTACGCGCTAAAGGGGAATTCACTTAAATCTTTAAGCTAGTTTTCGCAAACTATCGATGGTTTCAGACTTTTTTCCTTCATAAATACTTTTTTGTGACATGAACATACTTCGCAAAAATTAAATTTGACAAAAAATTTAAGTACATAAAATTTCAAATCGTGCTAAATGGAATAAAATCGTCTAAAAAATTAAAAATATTCAATTTTCAAAACGTGTTATATCAAAACTGTGCACAAAAAGACCGTGTAAAAACAGAATTAGGTGTACTGTAGAAAATACGAACAAAATATTTGCAAAAAATAAAATGAAAACATTTAAAATTATTTTCCTTACTTTCATTTTTCTCCAACATAACAACTTTTTCCGAAAAGACGCACGAAGGCCTATTAGTGGAATAGCTCCATTTATGTCCCCCTTTTTTTTTCCTAATGTCCACCTTTTCCTTTATATCCTCCTTTTTTAAATTCACTTAATATTTGTATCACTTCACTTTTCCACGCGGTATACGCCTTACTTACTTAGCTGGCTTGTTACAGAACGGTTGTTCCATAAGCCGAGCTTAAAAAAGATTTCCATGCGCGTCGGTCTTGTGCGCAAGTCAACCAATTTGGAAGACCACGTTTCAAGATGTTGTTTTCTACTTGGTCTTTCCATCTAATTCGTGGCCTTCCCCTTCTACGGGAACCATCAGTAGGCTCATTTTTATATGCCTTTTGAGCTGGGACATTTTCATTCATCCTCACAACATGGCCTAGCCACCGTAGTCGCTGCAGCTCAATACGACTGACTATGTCGATGTCCGCGTATAAATTGTAAACCTCGTGGTTCATTCGACGCAGATCGGCCCGTAGATCTTTCGGATAATTTTTCTCTCAAACACCCCAAGAGCTGCCTCATCTGCTTGCGCAAGTACCCATGCTTCTGATCCATATAATAGCACGGGTAGTATCAGCGTCTTGTAAAGTGTGAGTGTGGTCTGGCGGGAGGTGGCCTTGTTTCTAAACTGCTTTTTTAGACCATAGTAGCACCTGTTGGCCATCACAATCCTTCTCCGAATTTCAAAACTGATGTCATTCGTTTTATTTATACCTTGGTACATAAAGTCTTTAACTACCTCGAAGCTGTAGTTCTCAAGTTCCACAGTTGGTCCGAGTCTACTGGACGTCTTGCGCGTTGATACAATCAGCTTGGTCTTCTCGCCGTTTACTGCCAGACCCACTTTGGCAGACTCCTTTTCAATTTGTTCAAAGGTGGATGTTACCGCTCGCAATGTTCGACCCATTATGTCGATGTCATCGGCGTAGGCGAGTAACATGTGTTGTTTGGTGTACAGAGTGCCATTTCTGTTCACCTTTGCGTCTCGTATGACCTTTTCCAGTAGGATGTTAAAAAGAGTCAATGTTATTTAATTTTTCAAATGGAAGAATGTCATTTCAACATTAATAACTATTAATTTTACTATTGTCACAATGTTAATTTAACATTTTTATTATAAAAATCTATCTATAGAAATTCAACATTGTCTACTGTTATTTTAACTATGAAAAATGTTGAAATGAATATGGCCAATTTTATTTTGACATGAAAACTTTAAAATCAACAATGTTTAATATTAAATTCACATGTTTTGCTGTAGATTTTATATGAAACAACGTTAAAATAAAATTTTTCCAAAAAAAAAAAAAAAAAATACATCGATGTAATATCAACATTTTGCAATGTTGATTTTACATTCGCTTTTTTTTTCTGTGAATTTTTTTGATATCATAAAGGAAAATTTTTTGAAGGAATTTCTTGCAATTAATTATATAGATATTATTACTACATAAAGTAATTATTTTACCGGATTTACATACATACAATAATTAATTTATTTCATTCTTTTATTTACAGATCGCATCGATTAAAAATCTGCTAATTAAAAAATCGTGTTGAAAAACTTATAAAACGGAAGTGTGAAAATAAATATTACGAATAGAAAAAGCAAACAATTGTTATAATGGTGAAATCTATTTGACAAAGCATTAAAATACTTTAAATAAAAATCTATTAAATTGGAAAGATTTAAAATAAAAACAAAAAACAATTACAAATTATTACTGAAAATTGTTAAACAAAAATCTCTTTTTTGAAATAATTCAATCTGGCCGAAGCAAAGAACATTGCCGTCTACTTCTACCAATTTGCAATAAATGGGGAAAATCGCACGCCACTTTGATAAGTTGTTGTCGTTGTCGTCGTCGTCATTTCCGCTGCTGTCGTTGCCATCCTTCAATGAGTATTGGGAGTGTTCTATGTGCCTGAAAAACAAGATGCTGTTGAAAATTGAAAACACCCTATTGCGTAGCCATCGTCAACGTGAGACCACCGGTATCAAGAAACTGTACAATTCCTTTTTTGTATTATTTTAATTTCGCCGGCTGTCGTCCGTTACGTTTCACTCACCGCAACAGCAACAGCAATAACAATAAAAAGAAATATAGAACTTATAACGCAATAAGAAAAAGAACAAGAAGAAAAACCAGAACATAAGCGAAAACTAAACTTCAATATAACAACTATACCAAACTTAGAAAAAAATTATTTTATAACCCCCCAAAAAGAAAAGTGCATTTAAAAACAAGGAAATTAAAGAATTTTTAGTTAATAAAAAAAAAACAAAAAAATAGCCAAGGAATTTTAAACAAAAATAGTGAAAATATTTGGTTGTTAGTAAACACTTTTATTTTTTAAAAAAAAAAGAAATGTAACGTTTCAATTTTGGCAAAGAAAAATATCCAAACCAATAAAGTTCGAAAAAAAAACTTGATTCTCGTCAAAAAAACAATCGTTGTCTCGTGAAAAGAGGCCATCGCAAATCGCCAATAAGAAAAACGCCTAAAGTTAGCCACACCGTGTTTCTTGGCGTTAGGGAGTTAAACGTCGCCGCCAAACGCCTAGACGTCATCATCCATTGTAATCGAATAATCGTAATAATTTCTTTGTGCCGTTGATCTGTGAGTTATTGAGAGTGAAAGAGCGAAAAGTGAGAGAGAGAACAGAGATCCGTTTGAAATTGCCGCGTAAATTCGGCTGCGTTTCCGTTTCACTATATATTTTTTTTACTTTTTTTTCAAAAATCACTTGCGATTTTTTGGGCTTTTGAAAAGCTCCTGACCGAATGGCTTTATCGGTTGTTACCAATACCACCAATACAAACCACAACAACAATAACAACAACCCCCATCAATATCAACCGAGTTTTTTCGATTTACAATCGCTGTTTGATCCGTATTCGTTGCAACATCATCAACACCAACAACACCAACAACAACAACACCCACATCAGCAGCAGCAACAACAACACCATCTACTGCATCATCAGCATTCGACAACCGCAACAACAACAATAACACCTTCTAAGGGTATCTTAGCAGACTCAATGGATTATAATAGCAGTAGCAACAACAACAACAACAACAGTGGCAACAGTAGCAGTAATAATAATCACAATCATCACCCTATATTACAGGTAAGTTGTTCTCTAACTATAGTTGTGTTCCCTAATCGGCAATATTTTTTTATACCCTCCACAATAGTATGGAGGCAGGGACGTATGAATGAATGAATTTTTTTCACAGTAAATTTATCTTTGCAACAGCGATTTTTTTCATTTTGTACTACCGGGACGTTGCTGTATGGAGGGTATATTAATTTTGTCATTCCGTTGTTAACTCACCGAAATATTCATTTCCGACCCTATAAAGTATATATATTCTTGATCAGGGTAAAATTCTAAGACGATCTAGCCATGTCCGTCCGTCTGTCCGCCCGTCCGTCTGTTGTAATCACGCTATCTTCCGAAGGACTTTAGATAGGGTGCTGAAATTTTGCATAGGGTTGTCTTTTGTCTGCAGGCAGGTCAAGTTCGAAGATAGGATATATCGGTCCACGTTTAGGCATAGCTCCCATATAAGGCTACCCCCAAATTTACGGTATTTTGGGGATCTTGAGCGCGTTTTTCAATCGAATTCGCTGAAATTTGGTACATTGGGTTCTTAATGGGTACTAATTGTCGCCACAAAAAATTATAAATATAGGCCCACTTTTTCTGGTAGCCCCCATGTAACGGTACCTCCTAATTTTCGGTATTTTGGGGGTGTTGGTCGTATTTTTCCACCGAATTGGCTGTAATTTAGTACTTTGAGTTCTAAATAGGTTCCAAATCACTCCTCAAAAAAATTCTGCATATAGGTTCATTTTTTCTGGTAGCCCACCATATAAGGGTACCCCCAAATTTTCGGTATTTTGGGGTTCTTGAGCGCGTTTTTCAACCGAATTCGCTGAAATTTGGTACATTGGGTTCTTATTGGGTACTAAATGTCGCCACAAAAAATTATAAATATAGGCCCACTTTTTCTGGTAGCCCCCATGTAACGGTAGCTCCTAATTTTCGGTATTTTGGGTGTTTTGGTCGTATTTTTCCACCGAATTGACTGTAATTTAGTACTTTGAGTTCTAAATAGGTTTCAAATCACTCCACAAAAAATTATGCATATAGGTCCATTTTTTCTGGTAGCCCCCATGTAACGGTACCTCCTAATTTTCGGTATTTTGGGGGTTTTGGTCGTATTTTTCCACCGACTTGGCTGTAATTTAGTACTTTGAGTTCTAAATAGGTTCCAAATCACTCCACAAAAAATTATGCATTTAGGTTCATTTTTTCTGGTAGCCCCCCATATAAGGGTACCCCCAAATTGCGGTATTTTGGGGTTCTTGAGCGCGTTTTTCAACCGAATTCGCTGAAATTTGGTACATTGGGTTCTTAATGGGTACTAAATGTCGCCACAAAAAATTACAAATATAGGCCCACTTTTTCTGGTAGCTCCCATGTAACGGTAGCTCCTAATTTTCGGTATTTTGGGGATTTTGGTCGTATTTTTCCACCGAATTGGCTGTAATTTAGTACTTAGAGTTCTAAATAGGTTCCAAATCACTCCACAAAAAATTATGCATATAGGTCCATTTTTTCTGGTAGCCCCCCATATAAGGCTACCCCCAAATTTTCGGTATTTTGGGGTTCTTGAGCGCGTTTTTCAACCGAATTCGCTGAAATTCGGTATATTGGGTTCTTATTGGGTTCCATATCACTCCACAAAAAATTATGCATATAGGTCCATTTTTTCTGGTAGCCCCCCATATAAGGCTACCCCCAAATTTTCGGTATTTTGGGGTTCTTGAGCGCGTTTTTCAACCGAATTCGCTGAAATTCGGTATATTGGGTTCTTATTGGGTACCAAACATCTCCACTAAAAATTATAAATATAAGTCCATTTTTTTCTGGTAGCCCCCATATAAAGGTACCCCCAAATTTCGGTATTTTGGGGTTCTTGAGCGCGTTTTTCAACCGAATTCGCTGAAATTCGGTATATTGGGTTCTTATTGGGTACCAAATATCTCCACTAAAAATTATAAATATAAGTCCATTTTTTTTCTGGTACCCTCAAATTTTGGCATTTGGAGGTTCTTGAGCACGTTTTTCAACCGAAATCACTGAAATTTGGTATTTTGTAGACGTATATGGAAACAAATCTCCCTACCAAAAATTTTTAATAGTCAACCCCTTTTAGGCGTAGTCCCCATATAACCCCATTTTTTATATTAATAAAATTATCTGATTTTTCCGCGTTTTGGGTTTGGTTCTAACATTCTGTTGTAATCATTTCACCTGCGAAGGATATCGAGATAAAAAAACTAGAACGTACGGTTCGATAATGAACTATATGTGAACTATAGCCCGCATTTAGGCTTAGCCGTAGCCCCTGTGTGGGAGGTACCAGAAGGCATGGACCGATATTCCCCAAATTTGGACTTGAACTAAGTTTGAAAGACATAATAAGATGGGATGGAATCAAATTTTTCTGAAACGGATTTGGTCCCAAGAAACATGGGGCCTAGAACCAATATTTCGATGAGGCACATTTTCACCGTGTGATAGTGTATACACACTAATGAGCCATAAGGCTGAGGGTATAATTTTCTATTAAAAATTATTGTTTACATAATCGGATTGTCGGTATATGTCCATTTTTTGGTATGTTCCCTATATTTTCATTTCAAGTACCTGTCAGTATATCTATGGTGGAGGGTATGCAAAGTTCGGCCCGGCCGAACTTAACGCTTTTTCACTTGTTATTTTCATAGTTTGGAAATAAAATTATTATCTTACTCCGAAAATGAAAAACAAATAGGCAAAATTAAGCGAGTGGACGGAGTTCCTCTCTCCTATATCTGCTTAGACAAATTTGGCTGAGTAATAATAGAGTTGCCAACCTTTTCATCGCATCTTTTGTTTATTTTGAAAGATTGTCATAGTCCTATATAATGGGTTTCGATCGATGTTGGGTATTACGTATATTAGGTAGAATTTTTGTAGGGTCTTAAAAAAAAAATCAAAATCCACACTTTGTGTAGGGCCTTGAAAAGAAATGTTTATAAAATTCCCGCCTTGTGTATACTTACCTAATTAGCTGGCTTGTGACAGAACTTTCGTTCCATAAGCCGAGCTTAAAAAAGATTTCTTTCTTTTGTCTTTTACGCGGTTTTTCCAATTTGGAAGACCATATTCAGCAATGATGTCTTCCACTTGATCTTTCCACCTTATTCGTAACCTTCCCCGTCTGCATGAACCATCAGCTGGTTCGCTTTTATATGGGGGCTGGGACATCTTCATCCATTCTCACCACATGACCTAGCCAAGGTAGTCGCTGCAGCTCAATACGCCTAACAATGCCGATGTCCGAGAATAGCTGGTACAGCTCATGGTTAATTCGACGGCGATAGGTCTTTCGGATAATTTTTCTCTCAAACACTCCAAGAGCTGCCTCATCTGCGGGTAGTATCAGCGTCTTGTAGAGTGTGAGTTTGGTCTGGCGGGAGGTGGCCTTGCTTTTGAGTTGCTTACTCAGACCATAGTAGCATCTGTTGGCCAACACTATCCTTCTCCGAATTTCAAAACTGATGTCATCAGTTTTATTTATGGCGGTACCAAGGTATATAAAACCTTTAACTACCTCGAAGCTGTAGTTCTCAAGTTCAACTCCAAGAGCTGCCTCATCTGCGGGTAGTATCAGCGGCTTGTAGAGTGTGAGTTTGGTCTGGCGGGAGATGACCTTGCTTTTGAGTTGCTTACTCAGACCATAGTAGCATCTGTTGGCCAACACTATCCTTCTCCAAATTTCAAAACTGATGTCCATTAGTTTTATTTATGGCGGTACCAAGGTATATATAAAACCTTTAACTACCTCGAAGCTGTAGTTCTAAAGTTGGTCTGAGTCTATACGACGTATTGCGCGTTGATACCATCAGCTTGGTTTTCTCGCCGTTTACTGTCAGATCCACTTTGACAGACTCCTTCTCAATTTGTTCAAGGGTGGCTGTTACCGCTCTCAATGTTCGACCCATT